ACTTTGGAAATGTTGCTGATCTCTAAAAAGAATGATATAAAATGTCAAGTGCTATGGAATCTTTGCTTTAAACTAGAGAGAAAACTTCAGTTGACTATAGAAAGAGCAGTAAGGTGGATAAGAACCAAATTTGGAACAGATCTCTGTGTTTAGAGGTGTGCATAGCAGGCTGAGGGTGGAGGACGGGGGTGGCTGGTGGTGCCCGAGGGGTGCCCAGTCCATAGGTCTGAATCTCTGCCCAGATGTCTGCCTTCCACCATAGTCACCCTCAGCCACCCCCACCCACTACCCCCAGTACTGAAATCCGAGGTTGTAGGAAGTATTTATGTACTGCTTCATTCCAAACAGGTGAGTGTGAGGGGAAAATAATGCTTGGCACTTTAGAAGAGTGAGATTGGTATGTAAAATGCACATCACCAGTCGGCCTGCCCACCACAGGGTGGCCCAAGATTTGTCCCTTCTGTTTTATAGCAGTCAGCATGACAAAGGACACACATGAAATTGTAAGACTTAACAAAACAAAAAGTTTTGTTACAAACTTTGTAACAAAATTTACAGAGGTGTTACAAAACAAAGCAAAACACCACCCAAGCTGTGATCAAGTGCTCACTAGTCTTGAGATTGACACCTTGACAGAGTTTACTGGGATTTTACGAGTTAGCTCGCGACTATATCCTAGACTTCCCTGACCCTTGGCTTCTTTGCTTGTACGGTGTGGATTATAACAGTATTTAAGTTGTGCATTTGTGAGGACTGCAAGAAGTAATATCTATCAGAGACCTAGCCAGGACTGGGCACACTTTTAAGTACTCAGTGAGCGGAAACACAGCAGCCTGCTTCCTAAAGGAGCTCACAGACCTATCTTGCGTATGGAGATGTATGTTGTCCACCACCCGGTCCTCCAGAGAACGTTTGACTGGTGGGATGAATTCTGGTTAGATGGGTTTGATTCTGCAGAGTCTTCAGTCATCCTCGATAGCAAGGTGGGTATCTGTGGAAGCCGCTCTCACTTGCATGACTCCAGAGTTACTCAGTGGAAAGCTTCTCCACTGGCCTGCAAGTGTGATAGCAACTGTCAGTGACGTTAGTTTAGAAGTAGCCTAGGAATTCGGAGACCTGGGCAGGATAGCTTCACAGCACTTCATCTTTCAACTGAGGTGGCCCAGGTGAAAATGGGAAGAAACAAGGTGCCCCTGGAGATAATGTCTGACATTCAGAGATAACCCAGAAAAGCATGTTTTCTTCCTAGGAGTGCTGGCTGTGGGGTGGACTGTCAGATACTCCCGAGACATTGAGAGTTTCTGGGGAGTTTGCCCATCTGTCAGAGAAAGGTGTGCAGGGCATTTACGTGAGCACATGATACCGAGGCCACGGCCAAACCAAGGAGGAGTACCCAGTCCCACACCTAATGGGCAGTCACGTGTAAATTCTAGTAGTTTTACTTGACCAAATTTTGAGTAGCAAGGGTAGAACCTTTATTTTAATAACATTTAAAACAATCGCATTTTCCTTACGAGTTATTATTATTTTTAATTTTTTTTTGCTTTTTATATTGTCTCAGAAACAGTTTTACTGACATTGCTAGTGAGAAGATTTTTTTTTTCTTTTTTAAGCTTAAAATTCCCTTGTAAGTTAAGCAGGTAACTCTCCCTGCTTCTCTGAGCATCTTTCTGTTTCACGGACCCTTGCTGGACCGAAAAGCTTGTCTGTCAAGTTTCTCCTTTTCATTTTACACATAATGCAATTTCATACCCTCAGCCTAAGAGCTGGCTGCCCTCTTGTGAGTTGTGATTTTAAAAATAGCCCCCAGTCTTCCTGCTCTATCTCTGAGACAGGTACAGATATTTTACGAAGACAGATATTGAGATCCAGCCACGATAGTCTTATCAACAGCAGCCTGTTTTCGACAGCAATGCTGCTTCTGTTGGTCCTGAAGACAGGTATTCTGTGGGGGTGGTGAGAACGCTTACATTCCGACTCATTTTCCTTCTGGTATTTTTGCCACTTAGCACATACAGCTTACGAAGTATGTGGTTCCCCCTTGGGAAAGCATGTCTAACCCCGCTCAGCAAAGCAAGGCCGTCCTTACCGTCTTCTCATGGGCAAAGAAGCTGAGGTGGAGAGAGGTCGAGAAGTAATTGATGAAACACAGGCGCTGTCCCTGAGTTCCTAAGGGTTTGTTTAACCCCGGGACCCTGTTTTCCTTGTCTGAACACCAGAAAAGGAAATTTTAGATACCAGTAATGTGTGAGAGGAGAAGGAAGGAGCTTTGAATTTTGGATTGCTCAGCTCAGGGCCATTTCCTCTGGCCGCTCTTGAAAGGTAGCATCTTCCTCACTCAGGGAATGTTGTTCCTTACTGTGCTGTAAGGATGCCCCCTAGAAGCTCATCGCCATGCGGGTGCCAGAGAGCTGGGGCCTCCCCGAGACCATCACTGACAGTATCGAAGATGCCTAAGGGTGGTTGTACGGGATGGGAGTGAGAACTGCAGATGGGCATGAAGAGTCTTTTTGTGAATTGGTGGAAATGTTCTAAAATTGGATCATGGCCATGGTCGCACAGCTCTGTAAACATACTGAAAGTCACTGAATTATATAGCTTTAAAATGTGCAAGTTTTATAACCTGTAAATTATACTTCAATAAAACTGATAAAAAATGCCCCAAACTTGGACTCTCTTGAAGGGAACCACGTTTCGTAGCCCTCACCATACCTGAGAGCTTCCCCAGCTGCCTGACAGTACGTGGCAGGGTGAGTGGGGAGGCGTCCGAGGCAGGAGCCGGAGGAGATGGGGACACGCAGAATCTTACTCATAAGGCAGAGAGGGGGCCTGGGATCAGAATGGGGATAAAATGGCACCGTTTTTTGTGCTGATGACAACTCAAATTAGGTTCCAGAAGGTAAGTGCCTTGCTCTCCATGGACAGTGAGAGCTCTCACACCTTTCATTTGGTGGGTGACACTTTGTGGCCAGAGATCTTACCGTAAAATCCCATCAGCCCATATAAACTGTCCTGTACAATGATTTTTATCAGTTGTCCTATACAGATTTGGGTAAATATATTACAAAATGATTCTGAATGACCTCAATACAGCTAGTGCAGCTTAACTGCTGTTTTTTTCTTATTTACCATTATTTATAAGATGTAGAAAATATGTAATGTGGCAGATTTTAAAAAGAGTTTCCCACTTAAATTTTTATGGTGTTTTTAAAAATTCCGGAATGAAGGCAACTGAGCTTTCTGTGTTTCCTTTACTAAAGAAAGTGGTTGGCTTTGCTTACATATATTGTGTGAAACAAGATAAAGCTGCAGGACTCCCTCAGTAACTGGAGCGCAGGAAACAATTGACACTGTTACTTAATTCGCATTGTTTCTGAGACATTTCCTACTTGCTAGTATAATAACTTTCCCATGAGAACAATTTGCTTGCAAAAGGCTAGACACCAGGCACTGCTTATTGGTACAGCTTCTGTGAGAATGTCATGGTACTTAGTGGAGTTGGCATGGGTGTCTGCATGTTTGTGTGTGTTGCTGGGGGGGGATTTCTCTAGATGCTTCCAACTTCATTCCAAGGATCAAATGTTTCCTTGCATTCCTGAGCTGGAGCCTCTTTCTTGAAGAAGCATATAATTGTTTTAATCCTTCCAGTTGAAGGAAACACCCTTCAACTGGTGAATTATGGTGTTTTTAGATATGCCAGATGAATTGCTGTGAATTATGGTGTTTTTAGATAATGCCGAATGCGTTACTGTGAAAAGCAGTTCACAGCCCTTTACTTCAGACCTACTGCATGTTCGAACATTACATGTAGGCGTGTGATGTTGTCTGGGGCACTAAAGGGGCCATCAAGGAGTCATTCGAGAATGGGAGAGGAAACCCACACATGAGATTCTCTAATTTGCAGTTCAGAAAAAAAAACAAGAAAAAGAGAAAAGTTTTTGCATTGCTTTCAAAATGGTGGTTCCCACACTCAGAAGTTATGCTATATATACATACATATATACATATGTACACACACACACACACACACACACACACACACATATATAAAGTGAAAGTAAATGTTTCCCAATTAAAAAAAAAGATATGGAACTTTGCATTCCTTTTTTTCTGTCTTATCAGATTTTGTTATAATAACACCACTTGTCAGTTTTGCGGCTCCTTCCACCCAGAGAACTAAAAGCACTTCACAAACTTTTCTCCTCTTCCCCTTCTTTTGAAGGCAGTTTTTGCTGGGCTGAGTTTATTTTTTATCAATGCAACAACCAGTTTTTAGAAACTTTTGGAAATGAAAAAATAAAAATGGGAATGGCACTCTAGTTGACATTCATTTTAGCTGCTTCCTTGTATGAACATCTGAGTTTTTCTGGAGTCTCTCTCCAAGTGTGCCTTAACTTTTTCTGTTTGTCCCATTTTGAATCTCTCTTCTACTGGATGGGCAAAAAAGGAAAACAAACAAACAAAAGTTTTTGTGTTAAACCTTATCCCCAGCAGAGTGACTTCTTGAATTCTGAATTAGATCTTCATTTTTTTGTTGCCCTAAGACCTCCTTTTCCAGCACCCTGTTGAGTGGAATTACAAACTCATGGAAGCTTAGAATTCAAAGGGCCACTGGGATTGTCCGGGATAAGTCTGTCATTACACAAATGATGAGATTGAGGCCCAGATTCAAAACCACGCAGCTGATTGATGGCAGCGGTCTGACCAGAATGAAGGGTGTCTGATTTCTGGTGCAGTATTCTTTGGTTTTCCTAAACAAAATTAGTCAATCTGGATAGAAACTAGAGGACACCCTCACTGAATCTTAGTGCCAACCAACAGTTTGAATGACACTCCAGCTAACTGAAAATGGGGAGATTGCATTTTTCTAGTTTGAGTCTATCAGATATAGAATGGTAATGTTGAATTCATAGACATTTTCTGACCCGTGGATCTTGTGCAATTTATATGCATTGGAGAATGCAATTCAAATGACCGGTGATTTGTGTACCTTCCCTTAGGCCACCACACCATCTACATTGGGGTCCACGTGCCGAAGAGTTACAGGAGAAGGAGACGTCACAAGAGAAAGGCAGGGCACAAAGACAAGAAGGAAAAGGAGAGAGTCTCCGAGAACTACTCCGACAAGTCAGATGTGGAAAATGCTGATGAGTCCGGCAGCAGCATCCTGAAACCACTCAGTGAGTACTCCATGGGTGTTGGTGTCTCTTTCTGTCTCACTCCTCCGTCCTTGGGCAGGACAGCTTTTAGGATCTTATGGCTAATGGGGAGGGTCACAATGATAGGAAGATGGTCTCCTCTAAAGGGTGATGTCTGCGGAGATGGTTTTTTTTACCCCAACAGGTTGGTCTAGGAGGAGATTTGATCTGAACTGGTCAGAAAAGATGTGCTAAAGTATAGGCATGGTGTTGTATTCTACATTTTGACTAGTGAAATAGGGCAGAGTATTATAGATGTGCTTAACTGCAGTCACCAATAGTAACTGAGAATTCTTAAAGAAATTTGTGGATTGTTTCTGCTTAGAGATAGGTTCTGTTGAGACAGTAGGTTGAGATGAAATATATATATATATATATATATATATATATATATATATATATATATATATATATATATAAATGAATGATACTTATAGGCTCATAGGGGACATTTAACCCCATCATGAGCCAGGTCAGTAATTTAAAAGCAACAGCGGAGAAGCATCCTGTAAGTCACAAAAGACTGTAGAGTGGAGTGGCATAGCCCTTGTAGTCAAAGAACACTCTTAGATTTCAGGGATGTGGGGGACTGTGTGTTTAGGTGCATGTGTACGTTGCTTTTGTTTCTTTTGCTGTGGACAGTACTTGGCTACTGGGTAACTGGGTCTGAAGTGAGAATGAGTATGTGCAGCAGAAGCAGTGGAAGCGCATGTCAGTTTTGGGAGATTCCCCAGCGGAGTTGCATAGTGACAGCTTTTTCTCTTGGGAGAGCTCTGTATGTTCTTCACCTCTTTGCTGCAGTTGCAGAAATATGGAACCTGCGATAAAACGCATTAAACACAGATGAAGGTCTAGTTCAGTCATTGCAGGTGGTGAGAGGCCAAACTAGAATGAGCAGTTCAGGAGTGTTGGAGAGTGAATTTATAGAGTTAAATGAAAGAGGATGTGAAGTGCAGTGATGTGCACCTGGATGTCTCTCACAGGCTCACTGTCGGAACTGAGCAGGTGGTCTAGAAACTAGATGTACCATGCTGAGAGGAGCAGTGTGATGGACTGCCACACGGAAGATAAACATTTTGAGGAGAGTTTGGACATGGACTATGAAGTTAAAGTGTAAAGGTGTTGAGACTTAGAAGGGGCCAGAGGGCAGGAGACAAGAGTTATGTACTTTTCATTGGAATGTTGGGAATCTAAAGGGAATCCTTCATATATTGACTAAAAAAGACAAAACAAAAACAAAAGAATGGGGTCTGTTTCAAGTTAAGTTCTTGAATTGCAGAATAAAAGGTCACAGTTAATAGTGTGAAGGAACAAAAGATAACATTCCTTTCTAAATAAATTACTGTTGTCTACCTTGGTTTGCTATCCATTTTGGCAAGGCCTGAGCCAGAGTTAGAGCTGCTCTCCCTGATGTGTATGTGTGATCACTTTCTCTCTCTCTCTCTCTCTCTCTCGTTTTTGCTCTCTGTCTCTCTCGTAGTCATCTCCCATTCTGCAATTTACTAACAAGAGTGCATCATCACTATCAATACTAAGAAGGGAGAGACACTCTCCTAGACAAATGGACCAAGGGATTATGAAATGATAATCGTCTACCAACTTTGCAGGAAAGACAATGGAACAATGCCAGTCATATCCGAGTCAGTAAAAGGGAATGAACGGATCAGGAAGGAGTGTGAGAATGAATGTATCTGCCATGGGAGTTGTTTTCTGTGGCATTTAGGGACTATTTTGAGTGCAGCATGTACAACAAACAAGGTATTTCTTTCTCTTTGCCCTCAGAGGTCTCCTTCCAGGGGAGTATTGCATCGTGTTGTATGCCTGGTTTCTGAAAGGCTCACACAGAGACCATTGTTAAGGACCAAATGTTCAGTGATCACAAGAAAGCTATTTATAAATTTGCATTATATAGTTAGTTATTCTCCTGCTAGTTAATAAGTTATGCATCATCTAATTTGACACAAAGGCTCTCTTAGAAATTATTGTATATTCTCTCCCCTGCTTATCATGGAGACTAGATGAATTGGTAGCTGGTTTATCTGATGCATTCGTATGTACCACGTTGCACTTGTTACACTCACGTATGGAAGGACATTTAACCCTATGATTTTGGGGAAGCTAAAGGTCTCTGGCCCCATTATGACAATAAAATTATTTTGCAGGAAAACTATTTACTGAAATACCTGCCTACTAGCATGCCATTATTGTTTCCGAAGGACAGCCACACGCAGTTTCTGTTGTTGTTGGATCTAGGTTTTTGGAGATACTTATGTCTATAGATATACTACAGTCGGCAGACGAGATTCTTGTGTGGGCCTAACGTTGTATCAGGTGAGGCTTCTGCTCTTGAAAACACCCCACATATAAATAGTCACTCGGTGAGAGTCATCTCTAATTCTGTCCTTGTTGTCACCCACATATACAGTCCATCCGTGACTTTTGTTGCTTCTGCTTCTAAAATCAGTCTGGATGTGTCTACTGCGGACGAGTTCGGCTGCCACGTTCTGGTCCAGTGAATTGTCATCTCTTGTGTAGACAATGGCAGCAGGCTCCACTTTCCAAGTCTGTTTCCACAGAGGCCACAGCGGTCATCATCCAGTGTACATCAAGCCGTGCTGTTCCCCGGCCGAGAGCGTCCTCTGTCCTTGGAGTGAGATCTCAGTTGGGCGTCATGGCACACAGTCTCCAGCAGCCGTGCTCTCTGTCCTTCTGCCCTTGCTTACGTTTCTGCAGCTGCACTGATTTTCCAGCTCCTTGTTGCCAAAACGGATTCCTGCTTCAGGGCCTTTGCACATGCAACCCCGTCTTTTTGGAATAGTCATCCCATCTTTGTCCCGGTTAGCGTTTCTTTCCTTTTGCATTGCAGCTCTAAATTTCTGTGTTATCTGAGAGGCCTTTCTTTCTACTGTATGCAGTGCAGAGCCAAAGTAGGTTGACAGTTGTGAGTGCACAAAACAACAGAGTTTATTCCTGTATTATTATTCATTAATTATTGTATTCTTTTCCCTGTGAACAGCTGTAAACCTGCTCTTGTGCCACCCTGTATGATATATGTTTTCCAGTGTTATTCTTTCTCAGCTCCTTGTTCCCTTCATAGTATATGTTTTAACTGACAATTTTGTGAGCCTACAGTTTTCTCTTGTGCTCATCCTGGGCTGTAAGCTCCATGAGAGCTAGGATCAGAGTTTCCCTGTCCATTGTTTTCTCTGGCACCTCGCACAGTGTCTGGAGTGTAGTATATGCTTAATAAATGCTTATTGCAGAGTAACTGAGTGGATGGATTACTACAGGTAAATACATAAGCATTGCTTTTATTTATCTAAATATTTTCTACCATATAGATAAAGGTTCAGCTGATTTTCTTGTTTTTAATGCCTGCAAATCATCTTTTATGTTTCCCTGCACTGCCTTCCTCCCTTGCCGTACAAATCTGGTCCTAACTTTTAATTATTCTGCTTTGGAAGGTGTCTTGTTATTTTAACTATTGCTAAGAAGGCATTTTGGCCTGTGTAGGTGGCTCCAGAGTGTGTTGAGTTGCTTATCACACACAGGGGATAGAAGAAACCGATCCATAGGGCACATGGATTTATTGTGTGCGCTTAGAAGCGCTCACTACTCCACACGTGGGCAGCTCAGCTTCAGAAGTCACATTAAAGAGCATGGAATGGAGCAGTGAGGCATTTAAAAGAAGAAATAAGTCAAATATTTTCCAGTATTTAGGCACGTAAGGAAGATGACATAATTAACGGGTTCACTTAGCTTATGACACAGATGCTTTTCCTTTTCTCCATGGCTTCGGTGTCAAGACAGGGCTTCTAGCAGGTTCTGCTCACCATGCTGGGTGCTGTGGAGTAAAAGCTGGAGCTCAGATACCCATTTTGCCCCTCTGCCACGGGGCAAACTTAGGAAGTTAAACCTTTTCTTTCTTTATCTGCCAAATGGGTTGATAACACTTATCTCACAGTGGTGCTCAAAGTATTAAATGAGGTAATTTATGGGATATTATTAGCATCAAACCCAGGATGTAATAATAATTATTATCACCATGATTATTATTACCACTAGCTCCTCACTAGTTTGTCGAGAAAACCCAGTGACCGGTGTACGTATGTAGATGCATTGCCCATGGTAGGTTCTCTACAAATGCCGGCTTTCTTCCTCCCATTACCACTTTCTCCCCACTGCAGACTCTTAAGTGTTCTGCAGGGCCCAGTGCTGGTCTTCCTGTGGCTTTCCCTCCACCCTGGGGCAGAGCAGTTCCCTTGCTCTACTCATTTGTTCCTCACACCTCAAAGTGACAGCACACGGAGGGGAGGGGAAGACAAGGTTTCTAAAAAATGTGTGCATGATTCTCACACATTTGGAGCTTTAAGGAGGGAGGCTAGCTGGCTTACTTCTCCTCTGAACTCAGCAGCAGCTCCAAGTCCATGTACAGCTGCTCTTCTCAGGATGGTGCCAAGAAGTGCGGTACCTGAGCTACTACAGGGAGAGAGGCTGAAGAAGAGAAGTGAGATGGAGGAGAAGCAGGAGGAGAGATGAGGGAGTGAGGAGGTGGTGAGGAGTGGGCGGTGGAGAGAAAAGTGAGACTGTGCTCTTTCTTAAAAATAATTCTTTTGCCTCCTCCACGGTGCACTTGTTTCTTCTAAGTTAGCAGCTGCCATCCTTGAGGGTTGCCCAGAAAGTGGGTGGGAAGGTGGTCCCCGGTGCCATAGGCTCTGGAAATACAGCCCAGATTCCCACCATAGGTAGTTTTGATCTCTGAACTTCTCACTTTGCTAGTGTCCTGGGATATGTATGGGGGAATCACATGCCATCACTTTGTGGCTGCAGAGACTCTGAAAATGTGCAGAATGTTGGGAAACAGAGCTACAGACAGAACATCCTGTTCAGCATATCGGTCTGATGTGTGACGTGTTCCTGGACGAGCCTGAGCAGGCACTGGCGCCCGGAGCTGCGGCCTGCCTCGCACACATATGTCCTGC